CATCATCACCATCATCATCATCATCATCATCATCATCATCATCACCATCATCATCACCGTCATCATCAATATATAACATTGTTCTTAAATGAGAGACGATGATTGCTAATTTTTATGACATTTTGTTACACAACTTATTTATCATGGTGCACACAATCAATCTAAAGACTTTATAAAAATAAAAAATTTTTTAAAGGAAGGAAGGACGGGTAAAAAACTCTTTTAATATCTACAAAAACTAAATAATACAATCAATTAATTTATATTGTTTTTGTTGGCAAATTATTTTCTTGCTATTTATATTTTTTATTCCACACACATAAAGTAATTCAATTTATTTAATTTATTAAATCTAAAAATTTCCTGCATATATCAGGTATGAGTGAATTAGCAAACAAGCGAGCAAATGAATGAGCAAGTGGATTAACTAATCAATCATTAAATGGATCGATTAATCAGGCAGATAAATAAATAAATGATTAATTAATTAATCAGGAAATTCTTGAAGAACTTTATTCTAAATTTTTTATGACACGTTTTGGTTTATTAGAACAATAATTTATTTTTAATCGAATTGAATCTCCAATTTTAAAAGATAATTAATAAATTCAAAAGATTTAATCTTATTTATCAAAATTACTTCCAACATTGATAATCTATAAAATCTATAAAACATTATCTCAAAAAAAATTGTTTTTTCCTTTTTTATTTAATTTCCAGCAATTTTTCTAATAATAAAAGTTTCTCTTTTTTTTCTTTATTTAATTTATTCTTTTCTTCAATATTCTGTTTATTATTATCGTTGTTGTTGTTCTTTAATTCATTTTGGTATTCTCTTTCAAGTACATCTTTGGCAATTTGCTAAATATTATATAAATAAAAAAATCAATTAATATTTTGTTTTTATGAAGAAAAAGGTCCCGTTTATTTTCTTATTCGTCCTTCTCATTCTCTCTTCTTACCAAATTAAAATGGATATCATCACTGATTTCATTAAATTTATCCACTAATGAGAAAATGACATCTGTTTCATCTTTAGGTAGATCAAGTCCAGGTTTAAACGGATTATTATTATTCCTATTTAATTAAAATATATTATTATAAATATCAAGTATGATTGATTTAGCAACCCTCTATGACTTTACATTTGACGATTGCGAGGACTTCTAAGTAAGTCATTAGTACGTCCAAAAATTGCCTATTCATTTATAGAAAGAACAATTATTATTATTAATGTTGTCGTTAATGTTAAAATCAATAAATAAATCATTTTACCAACGTTTAATGTAGTTTTAAGTATTTTGATATTATTTTCAAGCTCTGGTATTTTATCGCCATCATCGGAACTCATTTTTCATCAAATAATAAATTTTTTTTAAAAAAAATTTCACTATTTACACTATTTGCTAAAAATCAGATGATGATGATGTCGATATTTGATTGGGTGATTTATAAAGATAATTTAACTTTATTTATAAGAAATTGAGAAATTTCACTTTCAAAAAAGTCTTTTTTCCTACATGGTGAAATAAATTATCAGTAGTAATGACAATCATCTTGAACACTGGGAGAAGCAATAAGATTCATAGGTATTGATTGGCATGGATTAATCAAACCAAATTCAGATAAACTACATATATAAATAGCACTTATTATTGTTATTTATGAAAACATGATGAAATTGATTGATTATAATATTCATTCAATAAAAAAGCTTTATTGTTTTCCTTTTGATAAATCTCTTGATAAATTCCTCTCACACAGTAATGATAAAGAGTTGACTATATATATATATATATATATAAATTATATAATATTTATTTGTTTTTTCGTTGATTATTTGCCAATGACTTTTCTAATTCCATAAAAACTTTCAACCCAACATTCACATTACTGTTATCATCATCATCCTCACCATTTTTTTGAAATATATTTGACGGTAAAGTTTTCCCTTTTTTCTTCAATCTTTCTTTTACTTGGTTAATTTTTTTTTCCCATTCTTCTAAATCTTCGTTATAAATATCTATTACACTTTTTTTCAATATACATATATTTTAATTATTATTATTTTGTTCCAAATAAAAAAATGGCAAATTGTATTATAAAAGGTTTCTCACCAATGTGCACATCCACTATATAAAAAGAAAAGAATAAAAAGAATAAATTAAATTAATTTTTTTCTTTAAAAAAAAAAACAATCCTTTTTCATATTCAAACCTCATACAACAATTGTCTGGAAATTCTGGTTTAGGTGGTATTATCTCTCCATCGACTATGATTGATTCTTTGATAATTACTTCCTTTCCTTCTTTTCTACCATCATCACCACCATCTTTTTCTTCTTTCCCATTGTTATTTTCTTGTTCATTGATATGTAAATTCTCTCCAATAGCAAATGTAGCTGCAGGATAATGATTATTATTGTTATAATGATAAAGTTTGTCATTATGATTATAACTTTTGTTATCTTCAATTGTCGTTGTTTGTGTTGATGAAGATGACTTTTTATGGATAAAAAAATACCTACAATATATATATTTTTTATTTATTTAATTATTTTATTTATTTAATGTTTGTATATATGTAATAAATATAATTTAAACCTGTTGTTTTAATATCAATGTCCAAAATCCTTTATATTTATCTTGAACCTCTTTATTATTAATATTATAAAATCTTTGTTGAATTTGTCGCAATTTATAAAATAAGTTATAATTCATTTTTAAAAGAAAAAAATTATGCTGCGACCAAGGATCTACGTCCAAAGAATTTTTAATATACAGTAATAATAAAATATCATTTCCATATTTTTCACCTTCGTCAGCTCTTTTAATGCAACAACTTTTGATTTCAATATAAAGCTACAGTAATTAATGAATTTCTAAAATCAGTAAAGTTTTAATTGAAGGAGTATTTACTAGTAAGTAGTTTTGGGTACGATTTGTTTATTTCTCAAAAAAACGTTATGGTTAAAGTACACCGAATTCGAGTCGTTTATATACATGTTTTCTAATTAGCGGACTACTTTATCGGCTTTGGTGATGTTGTCGGCTAAATCTACTAATTACACCTCGTCGACCTTGTCTATTCGCCATCTTAGCCATATACTTTGTTGACGTAAAACAACCAATACAAATTAAATAACGCGTATGTCAAAATACAATGTTAATTGATATTAATATTAATAAATAATATCGTGTAATGAAATGACTCAAAGGAATATTCTTTCCGCGGATTACAGAGATGATAAAAATCGCTTTAAGGTTTTCTAGAAAGGCAAGGAAAAATCCAAATAGTTTTTATTTGACAAATTTGTCGCAAAAACGTCAGAGGACCACTTGTCAAAATATGTAAATTGTCACGCATAAAGTGTATACAGTTGAACCTCTTTATAACAAAGTGTAATGTAATTAAATCCGTGTCATGAATTCTTATTACTTTATGTAACATCTGTTGTAACAAGGTCCTTCCTTCTTTCCGTTATAACAAGGTTTGGCTATACTGTAAAATTAAATAATCCAAATTTTTATTATTACTACGCCTCATTTATGGATGATCGCATGCATAAGCAAAATACCAGTAAAAATTATATTGTAATATGGGTCGTGGACTAACAAAAAGGTGTTCTGGGAGAAAATAGGGTTTTTGAGAAATCAGCTGATTTTTGTTTTTAACCCCGTTTATTTATTAAAACAACCCCCCTGATGTTTATAAATTGTTACCCTCTTTTTTTGTCCAACACATAATAATAATACAGTCAAGTATTTTACCAAATTTGGAAATACTAAATGCCGTAATGATCGATGGTTGAAAAATTCTAGAAGAAATTCTGATTGGCTAAATTCAATCAGGAATAATCCCCTGTAATGATCGACGTTATGAAAGGAAATTCTAATTGGCTAAATCCTGTGCAGATCTTTTCGTTGAAAAAATAAATAATCTTTAAGGGTAGGGGAATCACGTGATAAATCGATAGTAAAGGATCAAAAAATTTTTTATTGGTTTCAATGTTGATCATCACAAAATGTCCAATAAGTTTTCCTATTACTATGATAATAATAAATTAAGTATTTTAAATGTGAAACGAATATTTGTTACTAAGGGATGAGTATATGTTAATATGGGATGAGTTATGGGATGAGTTTCTCTAATTAGGGGTGAGTTTTGTTTTTTGAAGAATTTTAAAAGAAGATTTTATTCAAAAACACTTTCAATAACTACTATACAGCAGAATACACATATAGAATAACACAGGAGTTATTTGAATGCATCTCATGTAGCTTCACCTTTAAGACAATTATTGATTTTGGAAAAGTCAAATTTTGATCCCGGATTTTGTATTAAATTATCACGTAATTATCACGTGATTCCCCCTACCCTTAAATGAAAAAAAACAAGAAAAACATGGCGGGGGCTTTATTAATTGGTCATATAATTTCCAAAATTATACAATATGTGCATTTTTAACTTTTCTACAAGCTTATCCAAGATCAAGCAATGCCAGAGATGCTATTTAACCAATATATAGCATATTTTAATAATGATTTTATTCCTTCATTTAATCTTTAAAAATAGAATTTAAAATAATATCATTGGAAATATAATTCTGTTAAATAATAAATAAAGGATACATAAATTTCCAATCCATATAATAAAAATGAATAATAATTATAATAGTTCTAATATATTGAAATCAATAGCCACCATTGTAAATAATACAAAATAATTTATTTGGAGTTTTATGCTTACATTTCCATACCGAACTACTTTAGTGCTCCATGCTGCAATCCAACAAAGTAGTTGCTAGGTGTTGCAACCATTTTTATATGATGTAAAGGTGGTCAAAACCATCATCAAAGTTGCAGTCGGTATCCTTAAACTACATGTACCTTTAAATAAATAAAGCCTAGATAAAAATATATTATTATGAATAAATATAGTAATGGTGATTCTGAATATACTTAATAATAAGATTTGCATCAACATGGCATCAGCTGGCTTTCTTCATACAAACATAATGGTCCAACATTTATGTTACTAACTGTTAAAAATTAAAAAAAAAGGATTTAAGCCAATAATTCTCCTATGTATTAAAAAAAAACTAGTGTGTAAAGTTGCATGGATCCTGGTGGATTCTTAAAATATATATTCAGAATAATTTATTTTGATTATTATTATTAGAATTTTTTTTAAAAAAAAATTTATTTTCACAAAGCACGACATGTCACGTTAAATCGTTTGTAAACATATATGAATTGATCAACAAGGGGGTTCCAATTTTTCTAGATTCGATTTCCAAATTTGGTAAAATACTTGACTAATAAAATTAAAATAAAAATTTTATAACAATATTTAAACATGTCAACTACTCAGGAAGTTTCTCAATGCTTTTATGATTTATTTGAAAATGTTCAAGAAATTGTTCACAATTTAATGATTTTTTTTGGAAGTCCAGTAAGTTGTACTTGTCATATTACTGAAAAACAAAAGGATATTAGAACTTGCTTTGAAAAAATTGGATTTAAAAAATTTTTTCAAAGACACATTCAAATTATTAACTTAAATAATAAAGAATTAGATTTATATTTAAAAGCACAACTTTTAGTAATGGAAATAGAGAATCAAAAAAATAATGAAAAAATAAAATACAAATATTGTTTTAATTCAACATATCCTCTTTGTAGAACAGCATTTTTGAAGCTACATAATATAAGTCAGCATAGACTTGATAATATTTTAAATCATTTACATAATGAAGGAATAAATGAACAAATTCATGGAAACACAGGAAGAGCTCCCATATTTCAAACCAAAGTCAATATTGATGAAGAATTAAAATCAGTTGTGAACAATTTTTTAAGCAAATATTCTTTAATACATGGATTACCATCACCAATGAGACATAGGAATGACTCTGGCACCTCCCAACAGATAAAAATTTTAAATCTGTATATAATGAATTTAAAAAATTTTATTTCAAAAGTATTTTAGAAGTTGAGTTGGAAAATGATTCAGATAAAATTATTCATTATAAATCTTTTAGAAGATTATGGAATAAACTGGCACCTAATTTAAAATTTCAACCTCCTGCAAGTGACCTATGTGACAATTGTGTTCAATTTAAATCAAAATTGCAGTTAGCAAAAAGAGATATAGTTGAATATAATGAAATTGAAGCCCAATTTAATGAACATAAAAAAATAGCAAACCTTGAGCATCATCACTATAATAGTAATATCGAGTTAAGTAAAAATGACTTATCAATTGCACATATTTGTTATGATTGGGCACAAAATGTCACCATTCCTTATTCACCACAATAAGCAGGACCATTGTATTTTTTATCAGGTTATGCTGTTCATTTATTTGGAGTTTGTAAAACTGAAGGAGGAATAAATAAACAATTGAATTTTTTAATAGGGGAAGATGAACTTCCTCAAGGAATATCTAAAGGAGCAAATACAACTTTAAATTTAGTTTATCAAGCTCTGCAACTTTTTGCAAAGAATGGGGGAAAAAAATTACATATAACTTGTGATAATTGTTCTGGACAAAATAAAAATAACTTATCTCTTTGGTTTTGGACTTGGCTAATAATGTCAGGCTGGTATGAAGAGATTACAGTTAATTTCATGATTCCAGGACACACAAAATTTACGTGATTCTTTTTTTGGCAACATAAAAAAATTATATAGAAGTAGTAAAGTTAATAGAATTAGTGATATCAAAGAAATTGTTAATGATTCTTCAGAAGGAAATGAATCAATACAATATGAAAATGGCTCAGGGTGGAAATGGTATAATTTTGGAGAGTTGTTTGAAAATAAATTTAAAACTTTACCTAATATAAACAATATCACCATTTTAGATTTAATAGTTTACTTGAAAACAAAGGGAAAGTGTTTGTTTCAACAAAATCTGGTGGTGAAGAAACATGTTTTAATCTTTTAAGAGATAATAATTTTAATCATAATAATCCTATTAACATTATTTCAATTAATGTAGATTTAGAAAGAAAATTATATTTATATAAAAAAATTAGAAAGATGTTCATTTTTCTAATCCTAATTCAGATGAAATGCAAACCAATTAACTATGTTTGAATGTTTCAGAGACAAAATAAAGGGTGATTTGTTTATATTTTTAATGGAAGATAATCATTTCCTTTTTTGTCATTAACCAATTTCTGGGCCAAAGTTCAATAGATTTTTGTAAACTTTTTTTATTAATTGAATGTTTACAAAATTTATATTAAATTATAATCCTTGTTCCCGAAAAATATAATAGTGCTAATAACTCATTTTGGGGTTCTTGAACCCAGAACACCTTTTTGTTAGTCCACAACCCAATATTGTAGGTATCAACATCCAGTCATATTATGTTTATGGTATTATCGCCACCGAACTTACACATTTATTTTTTATCTTAACTTTAACAAGGAGTTTTTTCCTTTAGAAATTCTAATATTTATTTATTGATTGAATGGATGAATGGAACTCAATAATTACAATCGAATCAACTACCAATACCTATTGCCTTTATTTGTATTCGTTTACTACGAGGAAGGAAAAGCTATTATGTTTCTGTTTGACAAAAAATTAAGATACCAAAGGTATGATTCTATACAAAAAAAAAAAAAAAAACAAACCAGGAAAGAAATAGACAAGGTATAATGAATGAATATAACGGAAAACCCAATAATTTTAGATGTAAATTTGTAGAAATTATCAATAATGTGAATGAATGAAGTTAATACTCAAAATATATTTAAGTAGGATCAGTAATAAATACATGTTAGATAGTAGCGAGAAGAAATTTTCGTTGTGACTTAAAGAATCAGTGTGAAACTTAGATAACTGACCGCACTTGATAATTAAATCAAAGGTTTTTATCATTATAAAATAATCTTAAAAAAAAAAAAAAACAATATGATCGATGAAAACAGATCTTGAAAATTTGTAAGTTTATTTATTATTAATAATATTTTATAATAACATTGATATATTATTATTATTCATGATTCAACGATTTTAATGAACTGTCTTAAACAAAATAAGTTGGATTCCTTCTTTTATATATACATTTATATTCATTATTTATATATTACAAAAGAAAGAATAAATAAAAAGATAGTATATTTACACACACACACAAATATAAGGTTGAGGATATACATATAGACACATAAAATCACCATAATATCAACATAATATATATCAATAGATATTTTTTTTTTATAAAAACCAAAAATACTTAAAATTTATTTTTTGGAAAGTAAACTAGCATACCCTGATTTCTTTGTAACCGGAGTATGATCGTCCTCGACAGATCTATCATATCCTTTAACACGTCGAGGTCCAAATTTAATATTTCTATGAAATTTAAATTGTACCAATAATCCAACAATAAAAAGCCCAACCAATCCACCCATCATCAAATAAACTTTTTGATTTGTGGCATAAGGAGTCTTATCCAAAAATGCTCTAGTTGACAAGAGAAAACCTGTATTGACAAATATGTCAATACCAAGAATCATTGCATAAGCACCAATAAACGATGTACCCAAAGTAATTATAACATCCTCGTATATACATGTCAAAATAAGTCCCAGAGTGGCCAACGTTACAATAAACACAATTCTACCAATATCATGCTTAATCAATCCACCATCAGCTAATGCAAGTATAAAATTGGCCAACGCCCAACCAGAAACTAATCCCAATAACCAAATAGCAACCGTTGCACACCATATTAATAACATCCCAACTATGAATCCAATAGCTAAGGAAACTAATAAAATTATTAATGAATTCTTCGATGGTTCTGACGTGTAACCTGACTGTGGTTGTGCCTCAATAAGAATAAGATAAGAAATATATGCTAATTAATTAATATTATAAAAAATAAAAAAATAATTAGCATAAATTCTTTCACTAATTACAATTTAAATCATATTTTTATAAAATATTTAAATAACTTACATCCAATAATAGCTCCCAAAATAAACAAGGTGATGCGATAAAGTTTACGACCAAAAAAACAATAAATAAAGCCTACAATAAACAAAAAAATACCAGCTACTATCGATTGAGCTGTTATCTGTTGTAGTCCGTCTGATGAATTATCAGTTGTTACTGTTGTTTCATCAGTTGTTTGAGATGGTGGTGCTATTGTATCAGTTGGTGTTACGTCTTGTCCGTTAACAAGACCAATGATTACAAACAACAATGAAATCATTATCATCATTATTATATTTGTATATCTCTTTTTCATCATTTTTGTAAAAGAAAAAAACTTTGATTTTAATTGTGTGGTAGGTAATGTTTAATTGATGGTTTGAAATTGATCCAAATTCTTATCCAAGCGAAATTAAAAAAAAAAGTACGTAAAAAAAATTTTTCATTATGTTGATCGTGTCGATCATTATCTCGTTTCAACAGATCTGGGTGGTCAGTCAGTCCCTTATATCCGTTGAAACGAGGTTTGACTGCATACGAGTTTTTTTATCAGTCAGATGACATTTTACGCGATCAACATGTAATAATATATGGGTGGATTTTTAGGAATATTGGTTAGGGACCTCTATAACCAAAATTGAGTTTTTTGCATATATCTATATTTATAAGGATTAAGAAAATCAGACTATGCTCACTTAGCATAGTAATGAGATCCAAGGGTGATGTTTTTATGCAATTTGCATGATCAAGTAAAATTGCTGAATAATGCATAATAATAATCAATCAAAATTGCCGCATACTGTAAAGTCTGGAAAAATAGCACCAGTGTTCGAAAACCGACTGCGCCACATCATAAACTAGTCTAATTTTAGAAATTATCCGTGTTACACGTCCAGATTTGGTTAGCTCATCAATTCCGCCGATTGAATATACTAATACTGAATATATACAGTGCGGATTATCTATACTCAAAAGTTAAATATTATGTGATCCACACATTGGATTTTAAAAAACCCACCACCATTCAATTCAGCTTTAAAAAGGGTGTCTATTAATCTAAAAAAATTGTCTCAAATGAAGTTATGCTCAGAATGCAACAATAATTTTCGTGTTACAATAATTTGAATCTCACGACCAAAATTGGTAATAATTTTTTTTCAATGTTTAATTGACGATCCGTCTATGAATCAATGAATGTCGATCTTTTTTATTATAAAATATGGGGGAAATTTCATATTACATGATCAACAAAAAAAATCAAAAAGTATTAATTTGTGATATGTGAGAGAAGTAGATAAAAATCTATATGTCAATCCGGGGCAAAAATGTGTAAAAATCAACGAATTGAAGTATTTCTCTTCTAAGATAACATGACCAAAATATCCACAAACAAAAAAATAATGTGATTTTTAGATCCATTAATACCATAAAATTATCTTTATTAAAAAAAAATTTTTTTCATTTAATAAAAAAACAAACTTTACTTTTGGGCATCGCTGGATTTTGAAAAACCTAAATTCTCTGTGTAACTCTCATAGTAATTTTAAGAACTACTCAAAACTTGACCATGTAATTTCTCCCATCATCATTAAAGTCCTAGGAAATCATTTGCAGGAGAGTAAATAATTTTCTTTATTGTTTCTAAATAAAAGTTTGTTTTCTATTATTTATAATTTTATTAAGGAATGTATTATTAATAACAGTTCAAATAAGTTGATTTCTTATAGTGGGTGGGAAATTAGATCACGGACAACAAAGACATTGATATTAAACTATTCAAAACTTGACCATGTAATTTCTTCTGTCATCATTAAGTCTTGGGAAATAATTTACAAGAGAGTTAAAATAATTTTCTTGTTTTCTATTATGTATTTATAATTTTATCAAAAATTGTATCAATAATAATAACAGTTCAAATAAATTGTTTCCTTGTAGGAAACTAGATTACAGCAAATGCAAATTGTTAATATTAAACTTGGCCATGTAATTTCTTCTGTCATCATTAAGTCTTGGAGAATAATTTACAGGAGAGTTAAAATAATTTTCTTTATTTATAATTTTATTAAAGATTGTTTCAATAATAATATAATTGTTTTCTTGTAGTGGGCAGGAAATTAGATCACACCAAAAACAAGTTGTTAATATTAAAATAATTGTATGATAAATTACTTGAAATTCATTTATTGTAATTTGCTAACATTTTATCAGCTACATCTCTTTTCATTTCTGCTGAGTATCTAGAAACCCAATTATGTATAGTTTCTACCTTAGGAATTTCATCATGAGAAAGCTGGGTATTATGAACAGATTCTTCAATAAGTTCTTTATGCATATCCTCCAGTGTAAACCTTTGGATCTTATCATAATAATACAAAGCAAAAATTTTCTACTATTTAGTTCAGTTAAAATTGTCATGCCTAAACAAATAGGTAAAATTCTGAGTCATTTTCAGTAGAAATTTCATGCCACCAGTGATGAGCAAAAGGTCCATAGTATAAATTAAAGTCAATTATTCCTTGAGATGCAAGTGTTGGTGAAACTTCTTTATGTTTAGACATTTAAATAAAAATTTTATATTTATACAATATGTACAAAAAAATTTTTTTAATATACAAATGCAGCTAGCTATAAATTTGATTTGATATAAAAGTATGTCTGATATAAAAAAAATTTTTTTGAGATATGAAAGAATAATAAAGAACTATATGGACATGTCTGGATTCAGAAAATGAGACTTTTTATTAATAGATATTAACCCCGTTTTTTATTATTAAAAAATATGCCGATCATCTACTTCTATCACGTATCACGAATTAAACCATTTAGAAATTAAATTTTTATTGGTCTACATATAAAAATTGAGGGGTAATTTTTGTTACCATTAAAAAATTCTCAATAATAAAAATTAATATGTGGCCTCACATATATCATAAAACATATGATATTGGACCCCCCAATATACGATGCAAAAAATAGCATGGTGGACATTTGCATATTTGGTAATGATTTGCGTTAATCACATTTTGATTTTATCACGTAAAAAAAGAATTTTGATTGGGCTGAATATCATTACTAAATTAACAATTACACAAAATCACTAATTGCGCACAATCATTTTTTGACATTAATTAATTTTTAAACATAATAAACACAGTTGTTTTTAGCCATTAAAATATTTTTATACATAAAAAAATGTGATGTTATAGATACAGAGATAAAGACACATTATAAAAAAATTAATAAGGAAATTAGAGTTGTGCAAAAATAAGCATGGTGGACATTCTTATAATTGGTAATGATTTTCATCGATCAGATCATACGGGCCAATTTTTTGATTGACATCCTGTGACATTTAAAAATTGATTATTTTTATATATTAAAATCACAAGTCATCATACACGAATCTATAACGCACATAATAATCACTCTTGTGTTCCTAAGTAAAGATATTCTCCTACGACCTTTAAATATAGTAGTAATAAGAATCCCACTTAAAAAGAAACCAATAAAAAAGAATCCCGTTTCAAAAATTACGTTTATAATAGTAATACAGTTAATTATTTATATAAATAATGATCATCAAAATGTAACGCCCACATGTCATTAATACTTTTTTCTTTTGCCGATTGAACAAATTGGCCGTATGTTAAACAAAAAAGAAAATTTGATTGGCTGAATAGATTACACAAAAATTTAGAGAAGAGGCTTCGTGATGTATATATAAGTTTATCAAGTAGATATTGGAAGCAAATAATGCAAACCATTAATTTAACAATAATAAAGAACAAACTACCTTGTTCCTATTATTTATGAAATAAATATATATTATACAAATTTAACAAATTTATTAATTTAACAAGAATTATAAAACTACCTCATTTCTATTATCTATGAAATAGATATAAATATTATAAATATATTATACAAATTTATTGATTTAACAATAATTATAGAAACAACTTACCTTGTTTCTTTGCTTGCATTCTAAGGAAACAAAACCATTGATTTATGGAACAAACACTCTGCTTCTATTATCCACACCTAATAACAAGAAAAAATAAATATATTATACAAAACCATTAATTTAATAATAATTATAAAAT